AATGAATCAGTGTATTTGTATATGTATTAAATAAATGTGACGGAATGGAATAATAGGCGTAGATAGGTACGTTGTTGGCATTTAAGAAGTAGAAGCCATCGCATGAAAACACAAGTAATATATATTATATTAAATTAGAATGTTTAGAGCAATTGCCAAGGCAATCAATTTATTTAAAACATAAAATATTTTTAATATTGATGTGTTCACAATAAGCTGTTGTTAGGTTAGCTTATTACGGTAATAACTAAAGACAAATGGACCCTTAAGTAGGAACTGAATAGTGTTTTTTACAAGTAATGTTTATGATGACATAAGAGAAAAGAACTTTATTGCGGCCATTTTGTTGTTTATTTACAAAATATAACACAATTGTACATTATTGCCTATTGGTTTTTTGATTCTTTTGTGGGTTGGTTTATTTGTTCGTTCGTTTGTTTGTCTGATTAACTGACTAACTGAATGTTTTTATTCAGATCAGTGTCTTTCTAATTCTTCTCGGAAGTTTAATTAACAAATAAATCATCATCACTTAGAATAGCAAAAGTACTGATTCCTCGCGAACGGAGTCGCGGGCACAGCTAGTATTATAATAATATCTTAGTCTAAATGGAGGGAACCATCACGTCAAGCAGCTATCCTAAGCCATTTTAATAAAGGTCTGTGGCCGGCAGTCTTTCCGCAAACTCACCAATTATCATGTTTCTACGCCCACCAGCCCTTGACAAGAATGATGTGATTCTGAATCTTTGAATGGCATTAAACGTATTAATCAGTGCTTCGGCAAACATGCTTGAAGCACTGTAATAGAGTTTTAGAGCAATAAGCAATCTAAAGATGTTACTATATTGCACACGAATACCATTCAAAGATCGCCCCGCATATTCAGTCCAGTACTGACAGGTGTAGAAAGACTAACAGTACGTTTGGAATAGTCTTAACCTCTTTGGAGGCTTTAACAAAACCCCTGGTAATGACATTGCCACAGAGAGATAAAGCTATTCTCTGTAGTTCTATATCGCAATCATCTTTTTCTGTTCGCTGTCACTATGTGACTGAGGTATTTGAACCTTTGAACCATTTTAACGAATTGACCCGTCACGTGCGCCTCGGGTACATTAGTAGGGCCCTTATCCACCTTTAAAATCACCTTCTCCGTCTTTTTGCGTTATAAATTAAATTATGATCCTGAGCAAAGTTTTTGCATGTAGATATTAATTTCCGCAAACTCTTGATTATAGGGCTGATCAGAACCATATCGTCAGCGTAACTTAGGTTGTTAACACAACGGTTACCAAGCTTAAGTCCAACTGGGGTACTGATTAGCTTTACGATCAAGTCATTCACATAGATGTTAAAGAAGTCGGGTTAGGTAAGCGCCCCCTGCCTTACTCCGCAAGTCAGCGAGTAGTTATCGGACAGAGAATCACCCCATTTAACATTATTGATCTGTCTTTAATACCAATAAGTGAGCAGTTCAACAATACCAGCAGGAAAGTTATTAGATCTTACTTTCTTCCATAGTAGACCATGATTCAATCTGTCGAAAGCGCGACTCAAATCAAGAAAGTAGACATATACACTAGTATCGCGATCAACATTGTTATTTACTGCTTGCTTTAAAGCAAAAATAGCCATATCAGTAGATAGCTCTGGTCGAAAACCAAATTGACCATCGTCAATAGACATGTAGTGTGTAATTTGGCTTGAATCAAACATTCAAATAACTTGACCATTAACAGTGGCGGGAGATATAGGTCAGTAATTAGCCATGCTCGCGATATCTCCAGTCTTACACTTCGGAATCGGCACCACAATGGTACGTAAAAGATAGTTAAATAATGCAGAGAGGACTACACAAATATACTGCCTGATATGCAACAGATGTTCTATACTCAGGTAGTCATATCCCGGTGACTTTCCCCTTTTCTCGTTACGTAAGACGGATACCACATCCTCCTCCGTAACTATAGTACGTTTCTAGAGCAGGCGGAAAAAAGTACATTGACCTTTGACGATATCATTGGGGTAGGTAATCTTTTTTTGATTAGGTTCATTTTTTATCCTTTTATCATTACATACATCATCAGAGTGAAAGATAAGGCTGCCGAGTGCGAAGTTCTTTACAGGCCCTATGTCTATTGTTATATAATAAAGAAAGAATATTATCCTGTACCTAAACGAACAAAAAGGCAAATTAATACTGATTTAAGTTTATTATTTATAAATAATGAGTTACAATTTTCATTATTACGTTAATAGTAGATAAGTATTTTAATAAGAAGGTAGGTAGGTAGTTATATAAAACATAACTGCTTTTTGGCAGTCAGGTAAAAAGACGAACTTTAATGCTAAGCATTCTTAAGCAGCCAACCTTGAAGCATGCATAAAACTTCTCATAATAGATTGTCAGAGACACTTGACAGACTATTCATCTGTATCTATTTCGGAATCATTTATGATGATGAAGACGTAGAAGAGTACGTCACATTGATTATAACCTAAAATATCGACAGTCTTCTTTTTCATATCCGTTTTGGACGGATATAGGTCACTAGACCATATTTATTTTACATATTTATAGATGTTTACAATCAATATTTTTTTGGTTACCCAAATATGCGACAATTTCCGCTTCTTTCGTGGTGACGTAAAGTCTTTATGAAATTTTCATGTCGATGGACCCGATTTCATACTAGTGATAATATGCAAAACGTCTCAAAACAATAACAAAAACTTTAATACAAAACGTAATAATACAACTAACAAAACAAACTTAATAAAAATTAAAACAACTACTATAACCGAAAATTTTAAATCTCAAATTATCTACACGCAAGCGCATCCCAAAGCAAAATGAGGAATGATACTTGTTATACTTTTTGTAAATGAGTTCTGCTCCATCTGCTTTCTCAAATACGCACGGCGTGAGACCTATCGCAAATCGCATCGAAACAGGTTTATTATATCTGAATGACTGCTTTCCTCACCCTACCCCGTACCATGAGACACGCTTAGCGCATAAAGATACGTAATCTATAAAGAAATGTATGGAAGCAATAACATTAAGAAAGGTTTGGTGGATGCAACCACCGAAGTATGTGGTGTAAGTAAGAGAGCAAATGAAAGGAAAAGGAATACGTTGTGGTGGGATTATGAGGTACGGGAGGAAGTTGAATCCGGATATAAATATATCTAATTATAAATATATAATAATACCGGATGACTGGTGTAAAGCAGTTATAGTACCAATATATAAAGGAAAAAGGTCACAGCAGGACTGCAAAACTACCGTGATATCAGCTTGCTTAGTATTGTGAGTAAACTGTATGCTAAGGTGTTAATTGAAAGAGTTATGAAAGAAACTGATGGAAACATTTGGGATGTGCAAGCGAGTTTTAGAAAGGGAATGGGGTGTACAGATCAAGTTTTTTCCATGCGCATGATTTCGGAGAAGTTTTTGGCCTAAAACCAGAAAATTTTTTGTGCGTTCATGGGCTTGGAAAAGGTTTATGACAGAGTGGACAGGAATGTGTTATGGCAAACACTGAACTCATATGGTTTGATACAGGTATTAAAGTATCTTTATAGCGACTCTAGTGCTTGTGTCAGGATTAATGGGATGTACTCGGACTGGTTTGGCATCCAAAAAGGTGTCAGACAGGGCTGTGTAGCTTCCCCTTGGCTGTTCAACCTATTTATGGACAGGTGTTTGCAAACCTTGAAAGATGAAGAATTTGGGTTAAGAATGGGCGAGTTAACCGTCAAATATCTTTTGTATGCCGATGATCAAGTCATTCTTGCGTCATCGGCGGCTGAGTTGCAAATGATGGTTACATTAATGAACTGGGCATTAAAAGAAAGGGGAGTTAAAGTGAACGCAAGTAAGACAAAAGTGATGGGTTTTGAAAGAGAGGAAAGCAAAACGGTATGTGAAATAAGAATAGAGGGAGAGTTAATTGAGCAAGTGGATGATTTTGTGTATTTGGGATGTGTAACGACGAGTAAATGCAGGGAACAGAGTGAATGGGGCACTACACTCTATTATGAAGAACCAGAATGTGTCAAAAAAGGCACGTATTGTAATTCATAATGCTGTGTTAGTCCTTACTTTAATGTATGGTAGTGAAAGCTGGGTGTGGCAGAAGAAGAACGAAAGTAGAATAAATGCTGCGGAAATGCAGTCTTTAAGGAGTATGCTAGGGTTAAATCTGAATGAAAGGGTGAGAAATTGCGTGATAAGAGATAAATGTGGTATGCAAGATGATGTTGTGACCAGGATTAAGAAAGAAATGCTTCGGTAGTTTGGTCATGTAGAAAGAATGAATGAGGAGAGAGTGACAAAGCAAATTTATATGGCAGATGTGAACGGCAGAGTCGGGAAGGGACGCCGTAGAAAAAAGTTTATCGACCAAATTGGCGATATTTTGAAAATGGGCCACATTAGAAGTACCCTTTACCGACGAGCATGTATGCGTAGATATATGTATATAAAGGACTTGAAAGAGGTATGTCAGGATCATACCAAATGGAAGTCCGTAGTCTCTGCCTACCCCTCTGGGTGACAGGCGTGAGTGTTTACGTATGGAAGCAATAACTGTCGTTTTGTTTCGATGCTAACATAATACTTGAGGTCAATGTACTTTTTTCCGTCTGCCCTAGAAACGTACTTTAGACAGTTTTCGAAATTCAGCTGAGCACACGATGTTTCTATACTCAACAAGGTATCATTCTGAGTAGTTATTTGAGACATAAAATGCTCATTTGTCACGTCAACATTAAAATTATTTTAAAAACGTTGGCTATCTTTGTGTGGTTCACCTCACCTTGGATAATAATAAGAAGGCTTGGTATCGGCTGGGTCTTCTCGGATCCAGAAAGCGGAACCCGCCGCTGGTGCACTTCGCATGCGTTGGTCACAAACAATTAACGCAAACACACTGCGGGCGTACTTTAGGGCAAAAGGGGTAGAAACTGGATGTTTGGTGTATCGGGCTAGGATGCTTCGTCTTTTTGCTGAGCTGGAGCCATCTATAACCGTCACCGGGTACAACCTGGCAGACCGAGTTCTGTATATCTTGCGCTCAAATATATTTGATGTCGCCGAACTCGAACGGCTACGACGTGAGGCTGTTCCCTCATCGAATGAAAATACTACGGCTGAGGATGCGGCACCACAAGTTGTAGAGCAACCCGCAAACGTGGATACCGCTGTGAATACTCTAGTTGTGATTGATTCAAACGATGATAGAACAGTCGCCCAGGAACTAGAATTAGAGCGTATGAGGAGTACATTGGAAGAGGCGATTGTGGAAAGCATAACCCTTAGCAAGCGGAATCGGGCTGTCGTGAGGGCTCTGAGCCCAATGCTGGTGACCTATTTGGAAGTCAGCCGGGACCTTTGCGAGACGGACTCATTTCTCTTTGGCGCCGCGCTGGCTGTCTGCCGTATTATAGGCGCCAAGGTTTCCACGGCTGGACGCGCTACTGGCCAAAGTAGCGCTATCGCAGCATGGAGAATAAGAATTGAGGAACGTATCGCAAAGGCTCTCATCGGCAGACCGATATGCTTCAGATCAGGCAATAACAGGCCAATAATTGTGCGCACCGTCAGGATGGCGTTTGCTGGGACAAATGTCAGTCTTGATATAACGCAAAAACTGACGGAGCGCATAGAGGATCTGAAGCAGAGAATCGCTGCCTGGGGAAAGTGGATTCGGCAATATACTGAGAGGTCGACACGGTTCAACCAGAATCGTCTCTTCCAGAGTGATCAGAAGAGGCTCTATGAATCATTGGAGCGACCAATGGTAAGTGGAACGGGCCCAGCACCGATCCCAATCTGGTTCTGCCACTCTCTGAACCCTTTCAGTACCTTACTGCAGGGCTGCGGGAGGGGATTTCAGCTACGGAAAGAAGGACAAAATGACCCACCTTTTTATATGGATGACCTCAAGTTATTCGCCTCCAGTCGCTCCCATCTTGTGTAATTGCTAAACATCACTTGTGAATTTAGCAATTCCATTGGAATGTAGCTGGGGACGGATAAGTGTGCGGTCCTCCATGTTGAAAGGGGAAGGTTTACTAACTCTGAGGGCGTAGACTTATCTATGCACGTGAACTTGAAAACCCTTTCCGAGGCTGAAACATACCGATACCTGGGTATGTCACAGTATATCGGTATCGATGAGGCAGGTATGAAATATAATGATTTCTTAAATTTACGCGAACACTACATATTGAATTAAACTAAATTTACGGACTTTATCGCGTTTATTTAACTACTTTTACTCATTTTTAATTCCCGACGTTTCGGATGCTTTACAGCAACCACGGTCACGGGGGGGTGTTTGACGTCCCAATGTCATAGTTAGTCCGGCTACCTTCAGTTTTTGAATATTAATTTTTGGTCCGATTTACGCAAAACGAGCTTATAGTAACATGAAGTCTTGCAGTGGTATGCTTAGGTTTGGGTTCAATTTTGTTAATTATAAGATCCCAAGCAGATGGCAGCACCCATCCATCTTCTCTATTGAAATTTGGATGTTTTTTTAATTTCAATAGCCTCGCGTATCATTCTTGGTAGGAATCAGTGTTCTTTTGCGAGAATTTGTGGTTTATCAAATCGAATGTAATAGTGGGGACGATCTTGAACATGTTCGCAGACTGCAGACTTCCCGGAGCGTCGGTGCTTCACGTCAGCTATATGTTCTTTCACGCGGGTTTTTATGGATCTTTTTGTTTGACCTATGTAAGAGAGACCACATACTTGTACACTCCTGCATCTTGTAGAGGGATATTACACTTGACGGATGGTAAAAATTGACTAATCTTCTTTGGCGGCTTGTAGTATGTTTTAATGGAAGCTCACTTCAAGATGTAGCCAACCTTGTCTGTGACTCCTCTGACATATGGTAGTACAGCAGGTACACGCTCGACTGTGGCCGGCTTCACTCGGTCACTGTGACGTAGGCGCGGGACCCGAAGCTTGTTGTCTTGTAATACTTGCTTGACGTGCTGAAGTTCGGCGGCCAGATGTTTTCTGTCACAGGTCCCTCGTGCTCTCTCAAACAAATATTTACCCACGGTAGCTAACTGCGAAGGACGATGGTGAGATTCACCATTTAAATATCGGTTGGTATGGGTCTTTTTTCTATACACAGTGTGACCAATTGTGTTATTAGGATTTCGAATGACTAAAACATCTAAGAAAGCTTTAGCTTTCTTAGATGTTTTAGTCAACCGAACCGAACCGAGTCAACAGTGGTAGAGCCACGCGGCAGCTTTTGCTGTCGCACGTATGGGCCGGCTCAAACCGGGGTGGTACCACGACCTCAAAGAATACCGGCGTGAAGTGGAAGCTCGGCTTCCGCGTTTCATCTGGTGAGTGCAGGTAGCCGGAGGCCCAAATCCCCCCCCCATCAACATGGTAGCGGAATTAAATGATAGACTACCCCAGGAGGGTACCAGCACCCCCTGGAGAATCCCTCGCTGAGCATCCACGACCATGTTTCTCCACTTCTGAGCGTGGGTGCTCAGGCTGCCCCGCGTATTTTGGGAGGGGGGGGCAATATTCCGCTCAAGACTATAACTGCTCGGGGCAAACGGAGCAACAAGACCAAGGCGACCCCTGCCACGCTGTCCGTGAATTTCTGCAATATCAGGGGACTTCACTCTAACCTAAACGCCGTCCACTACCATCTCGAGACGGCGAGGCCTGCTCTGCTCTTTCTGACCGAGACGCAGGTGTCCTCTCCGGCTGATGTCTCGTATCTCTCCTGCCCGGGGTACAAACTGGAACACTCCTTTGTGCCTCGGGTTTGAGTTTGCGTTTACGTCAGAGAGGACATCTGTTCTCGACGCCTCGGCAGACTTGAAGGTTCGGACCTGTCCATCCTTTGGCTACGCGTAGACAGCGACGACCATCCGCGCGTCTACGGGTGCCTCTATAGGTCCCATAGCGGTAATGCCGAAACAGACCGACTCTTCGACCACGTCCAAATGGCTGCAGATTCGTTGCTACAGCAGATCCCCTCCGCAGAGATCGTGATCCTCGGCGACTTTAACGCCCATCACGCCGAATGGCTCGGTTCACGTTTAACCGATCATGCGGGGAGATCTGTTCATGATTTTGCCTTGGCATATGGTCTGACACAACTGGTTACTTCGCCTACGCGGATTCCAGATGTGGAGGATCATGCACCTTCCCTGTTGGACCTTCTGCTGACCTCTCACCCGGACGGATATCAGATTTCCGTTGACGCCCCTTAAGGCTCCTCGGACCATTGTCTTGTCCGGAGTGTGGTGCCACTCACGCTGAAATCGCGGTTGCATTCTGCAGGCTGCCGCCGTGTTTGGCGCTATAGGTCAGCCGATTGAGATGGGATGCGGTCTTTCTTTGCATCCTACCCTTGGGGGCGGGTTTGCTTCTCGCCGGATGATCCCAACGTTGTTGCGGATTCTGTCGCTGATGTGGTACTTCAGGGTATGGAACTTTTTATTCCTTCCTCTGTGGTGCCCATTGGAGGCAAATCTCAGCCATGGTTTGGTCGCTCCTGTAAAATAGCATCATGCTATAAGCAGGAATGCTACCGAGCCTGGGCTGACGCATCAGCGTCCAGGGATGTAAACACCAGCGCTCTAAAAAAGAAGTATAATTCCGCCTCTAGGTCCTTCAAAAGAGTCATTGCCAAGGCAAAGTCAGAGCACATAGGCAGAATTGGCGAGAAACTAGTTCGTCTTCCTTCTGGAACCCGTGCATTCTGGTCTCTCGCCAAGGCTGTCCAGGATAATTTCTGTCAGCCATCTCTTCCATCCTTGCACAGGGAGGACGACTCAATGGCCCACACCGCAAAGGAGAAAGCCGATCTTCTAGGCTCTTTCTTTGCGTCTAACTCGACTCTCGATGACGGGGGGAGTACGCCGCCGACCATCCCGCGGTGTAAGTGCTCCATGCCAGAAGTGCAATACTCACAGCGCTCGGTTCGCAAAGCACTCCTCTCCCTGGACATCCATAAGTCGAGTGGGCCTGATGGAATCCCCCCAATTGTGCTGAGGACGTGTGCTCCAGAGTTGGCACCGGTTTTAACGCGTCTTTTTCCGGTACTTCTACTCCCTAGGCGTAGTCCCAAAATCATGGAAGACGGCTTTCGTCCACCCGATCCCTAAAAAAGGCGACCGCTCAGACTCGTCCAACTACCGGCCTATCGCCATCACCTCCTTGTTCTCCAAAACAATGGATTCCATTGTAAACTGCCAGCTCATGAGGTACCTTGAGGATCACCAGCTGATTAGTGACCGCCAATACGGTTTTCGCCGTGGTAGGTCAGCTGGTGATCTTCTGGTCTACCTAACTCACAGATGGGCGGAGGCAGTAGAGTCCAAGGGGGAGGCATTGGCCGTTAGTGTGGACATTGCGAAGGCATTCGATCGGGTTTGGCACAAAGCGCTTCTTTCGAAGCTCCCTTCCTATGGGCTTCCCGAGAAATTGTGCGATTGGATCACCAGTTTTCTTGCAGATCGGAGCATCAAGGTCGTTGTAGACGGTGCAAGCTCCGATTGCAAGCTTATTAATGCTGGTGTTCCACAGGCGTGCGTGCTATCGCCAACGCCGTTTCTTCTGCATATCAATGATATGTTGCAAACCCGTAGCATTCATTGCTATGCAGATGACAGCACTGGTGATGCTCTTTACACCGGCCGAGCCAATATTTCTCGGGAAAACGTCTCTGAGTGCCGGGACAAACTTGTGTCCGAAGTCGAGTCTCTGCTGGACAGAGTCTCGGATTAGGGGGCGACTAAATCTAGTCCAGTTTAACCCACAGAAGACACAAGTTTGCGCGTTAACCGCTAAAAAGAACCCCTTTGTCGTATCCCCTCAGTTTCAAGGCACTCCCCTTGTTGCCTCACCCAGTATCGGAATCCTCGGCGTCGACATATCGAGTGACGTGCAGTTTCGTGGTCACTTGGAAGGGAAGGCCAAATTGGCCTCTAAAAAAGCTTGGCGTGCTCAGCAGAGCGGGACAGTATTTCATGCCGGCACACCGCCTGCAACTTTACAAGGAGCAGGTTCGGCCGCTCATGGAATACTGTTCCCATCTCTGGGCTGGGGCTCCCCAGTACCAGCTCCTTCCACTTGACCGCATCCAGCGCAGAGCGGCTCGAATCGTTGACGACCGAGTGCTTTCCTATCGGCTCGATTCACTGGCGCTGCGAAGAGATGTTGCATCTCTTTGCGTATTTTATCGCATCTATCACGGGGAGTGCTCTGAGGAATTGTTCGGATTAATCCCAGCCGCCAAATTTCGTGAACGCACTACACGGCAAACGTCCCGATACCATCCACACCATCTGGATGCTTGGCGGTCCACCACTGTACGTTTCAAAAGGAGTTTTCTTCCGCGTACAACCTCTCTGTGGAATAATTTACCACCGGTGATTTTTCCGGACCGATACGACCTGGGGACCTTCAAGAAAAGAGCTTACTCCTTTCTAAAGGGCCGGCAATGCACCTGCAATTCCCCTGGTGTTGCGAATGATCATGGGCGGCGGTAGTCACTTAACATCAGGTGAGCCACATGCTCGTTTGCCCCCCTCTTCTATAAAAAAAAAAAAAAAAACGTATTTAAATGAAAATGCAAATAGTATGGGTGATGAATGGTGTGTGTGTGTGTGTGTGTGTGTGTGTGTGTGTGTGTGTGTGTGTGTGTGTGTGTCTGTGTGAATGATGTATGTGTGTGGTATGCGTGTGTTGATTAAATGATTTACATTTTACGAGGTATGGTGTAAAAGTGCCACAAGGTCTTCGTAATTTTGTGTTTTGAACCAAGTAGTTACAGATTTTTTTGAAATCATGGTGAGTTGTTGTATGGATGTCCAACAAACCGTTAATGCAGTTGTAAATGTACACAGAATTAGCAGTATATTGGCGTTTGGCAAACACTGTTTTAGTGCGAATAGTTTTGGTTACACATTTTTTTCTTCTTCTATTATCTACAGTGGAGTCAAACGGTATAGTTTTACGAATTTTTAGAACAGTCACTAAAATGTATAACTGTCTCACGGTTAGCACGTGGCAAAATTTATATAATGCCGTAGTGGGGTCCAACGTGGTTTGAAATACATGACTTTAAGAAGGCAGCGTTGACCACGTTCAACCTCCAAGAATTTGCTTTTAGTAGCCCCACCCCATACAGAAATGCAATATCCTAAGACAGATTGTTTGTACCAAAGTAATGTATATCTGTTTTATTAATTTATGTGATGTAATATGTCTCAGGGTTTTGAAAATCCAAATAAGTTTACGCACTCTTTCGTTCATATATTCAATATGTGGATGCCAGGATAGTCGATGATCAATATTAATCCTAAGTATTTAGTTGATGTAACCTTCTGTAGCGTTTTGCAATTACAAATTGAGTAATCTAGTTTATCGCATTTATGTAGTTTTAATGTAATATCGTTTTTTGGTTGAGTTATTTTATTTATTGAGAAGCACATATAATTTGTTTTATTAATAATCAAAGTTATAAGGTTCATTTTTAGCCAGTCAGAAATTTTAGAAAGACCACTTTGGGCTGTCTCGTATACCTTGTTTCACGAAGTTCCAGAAAAAAACTATAGCGGTATCGTCGGCGTAAGAGTAAATTTTACCACTTTCAATGCTTAGATTGGTGAGGTCATTTACATAGATTAGAAATAGAGTTGGGGCAAGTACACTCCACTGCGGCACACCGAAGGTTATGTCCATGTCTTTACTCACGTGTGTACCAATGTTCACTCTTTGGGTGCGCTCTTGTAGGTAATTGCTTAGCAATTTAAGCGGTACGCCTCGGACACCGACGCACTCTATTTTACGTAAAAGGGTGGGAAGGGAGACGGTATCGAAAGCCTTTTTTCAAGTCTAGTAAAACAGCCATGCATTTATTTCCTCGGTCGACTTGATCTGTAATAAGGGACGTGAGGGACAATACTGTGTCCTCCGTAGATAATTCAGGCCTAAAACCAAACTGTGAGCTAAAGATAATGCTGAATTTTTCTAGATAATTAAGCAGTCGAGTATTAAGGAGTTTCATAATGACTTTTGAAATCACGGGTAAGACCGAAATGGGTCGATAATTATTGATGTTATATCTATCCCCACCCTTATGAACCGGAGTAACAATAGATTTTTTTAGGGGTGCATGGAATACTCCTAATCTAAAGCTTTGATTTGCAAGATGACTTATTATGGGCGCAACAATAGGGCTACAGATCTTAAAGAATTTGGTCGATATATTGTCCCAACCGGACATCTGTTTTGAGACTCATGATCACACTATTAACTTCCCGAGGATCAGTCTCCAAGAGGACAAAAGATGTGTTATGCCGTTTTAGCGTGTTAATGGGAGTACTACTTTGTGAGACATGAGATATACCTTTCATAACATCATTAGCTAATTGTTTGCCAATATTATCAAAATAACAATTTACCAAATTAACAGAGTCAGACGGTGTTGGTTATATTAAGTAGTTCTTTGCAATGTGATTTAGAAATTTTAAAATAGGTTACCGTTTATATTCTTTTTTCAGAGTTCTTAGGAACTTTTGCAGCAGTAGTTAATAGTTCTCTCTCATATTTTCGTTTTAGTTTTTTATAAGGTTATTAACGTAGTTTCAATATCGCCTGAAAGTAATTTTTAGAGTTTCATTCGATAGATCTGACCTAAGCTTCAGCTGCATTTTATTTCTATTTCTGATACACATAAGAATTCCGTCTGTGATCCAAGGTTTAATATTCTGCTGGTTTTTGGTAACATATTTTATTGTTTTACTCTCATCCAGTGACTCCGCAAGCCATAGCAAAAGGCTCTTGGTAACTAAGTCGGGATCTTCGCAAAGAAACAAAGACTCCAGGTTCTTTTGGAGCAGCCTCTCATATACAGTTTCAAAATTTACACAGTCAATGATTTTTTGATTAATTGTTTTGCTTTTAAGTTATGATATGCACATGAATATAGTCAGATGATCTGTAAGTGTTATTTATAACGGCGATATTTGCGGAAAATTTTATTTTGTTTAATTTTACCATGAAGTGGTCAAGGCAGCTGGATTCTCTCGTGGGCAGTTTGTGACCAGCAAGTACGCCGTGACTAGCTAGCGTACTTAGATAGTCAATTCTATTATTGCGGTCATTAGTTTGTTCGTTCCTGCACTGAATGAGGTTGATGTTGATGTCTCCAGAGATGACTATGTTACGATAAGATTTTATGTTTCCAAGGTATGCACTCAAGGACTCAATGAAGGTGAACGATAAATGCCAAATTGTCGTCTCAGTGCTTATTTGTTCTATCTACCAAAATTTCCGAAAATTAACTTTAAATGCAGTTTTGTTAAGACTTAAATTTCAACCCCGTTAGTAAAGAAAGACTCACAACTTTTTGCTTATAAAACAACAAAAAAAATCGTATAAATTTTTTTTGTGACACGACACCACAATGAAAATGTAGTGCTTATTTTTTATGTCCAGTGTTTGGTTGATATCCTACTTTGAAATAGAAGTTAAGTGGTCGGGCTATACCGTCTGAAATCGTTATTACAGGCACATGACACATGAGTCTCAAGATCTTGAAGTCTTAAGATCGGCAACACATTTTTTATTGTTTCAACTTTCGTCAAATTGATTTTTATTTGTGGTTTTTATACTTCTTGCTTAATGCAAAGCAGGATGCTTGTGACTGCAATTTAATATACATATAATTATGTACTTTTTGTTTTACGTATGTACTTAAAAGGGTTGCAAAAGTCAAGAAAAAGCTTTTTGAAGATGATGAAATTTCTGAAAATGACAACATTGAAGACACTCCAAACAAAAATATTGTGAAGATAAACAAGAAACTTTTTGAGCGTCAAAGAGAGACCAAGAAAATACCCGTCTTTCTAAGCGAAAATGATTGTTTATTAATTCCTTTAAACATGCCCGGTGATGAAATGTTAATACCATCTGGTGAACTTCCCAAATGAGTTTCCTGATGTCAATGGAAATTCATATAAAGATCCAGCTGAGCAACAGATTTCAGAAAAAAATAAAAATCCAAGTCGATAGAGAAAACGACAGCCGGAAACCTGGAAAAGAAATATTAATAAAATAAAAAGAGAAAGGGGAGAAGAGTACACAGGGGCAAAAGGAAAATGCATGCAGGCTAGAATTATTAAACCCGGGTGTGAAAGTAATTGTAAGCTTATGTGTTCTACAAACTTCCCTTTGGCCCTGAGAGAAAAAATAAAATCTGAATTTTACAGCTTGACTGATGCCCAAAAATAAAATTTTTACGAAAAAATACACTACAAGAACCAAAAAAAGTAGGACGCGAACTAAAAAAAGAAAGGTGTAAAAGAACGTATATATTTCACTATTATTTTCGTAAAGAAAACGAAATTGTTAAAGTCTGCAGAACATTTTTTTGTTCTACGTACGCTCACCGGATTCACTACTTTCATTTAAAAAATGTAAAAAAAGTGACACACTCTTGCCTCCTACGCCGAGAAAAAGGAAAATACATCAAAAAAGCAACACCGCCTGAAAAAATAAACGAAGTTATTGATCACATTAAATCGCTCCCAACAGTAGATTCACACTACTGTTAATCGTCTAGTACGCGCCAATATTTACAACCTGCGTTGAGTGTCTCAAAAATGTACTCATTATACGTGCAAAAGCATAAAGATCCTGTTAAAGAAAACATATACCGAAAAATATTCTGCGAACGATTTAATCTTGGCTTTCATCGTCCCAAAAAAAGGATGTTTGCGATTTTTGTTCCGAGTTTAAAAAACCCCAGCAGTGATCTTATAGAAAAATGTGAGGAGCACTTACAAAGAAAAAAAGAGGGGTGACAAAGAACGAGAAAAAGACCGAAAACTGAAAACCAATAAAAACAACGGCACAGCCGTTGTAACTTTTGATTCGGAGAACATTTTTTCTCTGCTCAAAGCAAATGTGCCCAAAGCAAAACCAATCATGCTTTTTCTATACAAGCAATTGACCGTTTATAATTTAACAGCGCACTGTGATATTAATAAAAGTGCCGTTAACGCCTTGTGGGACGAGACTAGAAATGAAAGAAGTGGCGATGATTTAGCCAGTGCATTGGTTAAAATTTTAAAATAAATAGTAAGTTTTTTACCAGATACTATAACTAAACTAATACTATGGTCAGATTCGTTCGTCCCGCAGAACAGAAACTCACATATGAGTACTGCTATTATCTAATTTTATAACAAATTTTTAACCAAATATATAACAAGTATTACCCAAAAATTTTCTGAACCTGGCCATGGTAATGTTCACGAAGTAGATTCAGTCCACAGCTTAATCGAAAAAAATTTAAGACACAAAGAAATATACAGCCTTTTGTCTCTACTACGTGCCCTTCTAAAAATTAAAACAAATACTCTTAAACTTGGGGTGTACGCCCCAGACATGTCTAAGCCCACTTACATCCGAGAGCAGTTTTGGGACATGGTAAGGATGGTGTTGACAATATGTAAGGAAAATGAAAATATTATTATGTTAGGAGACTTTAATGGAAGGGTTGGGGTGAAGAGGTCTGGTTATGAAAGGATATTGCGAACGTTTGGTGATGAAAGTATAAATGGGAATGGTGAAGACCTCCTCACCGTATGTGTGGAAAAGAATCTCTTTGTGACGAATACTTTTTTTCGTCATAAGAAGATTCACATGTATAAATGGGAAAGAGGTTATGATAGAAGCATGATAGATTTCGTAATTGTGGATGAAAAAATGAGGAGCGCAGTCGTAGATACAAGGGTTTACCGGGGGGCCAACGTAGAGACGGATCATTACTTGGTCTTATGTCGAATTAATGGTGGATAAGACCTAACTATCAAAACCAGACATGTGTTCAAGACCTTGACTAATTGAGCTGAAGGCTTTTATCGATATGTTGTACTATACCTCAATTTTCAAAGAGAACCACACATACTACACATGTTGGTACAGCACAGATGGTACAGGAAGAGAGATTTATCGTTGTATAATGAGCAAGAACAGGTTCGAAACATTTCTGAATTGCCTTCGTTTTGATGATGAGAGCACCGCCATAGCACTGATAAAGCTGCACCTATGTCTCAGCTTTTTGAAAAGCTGATACAAAACTGCAAAGAAGTTTGTTCAAGTGGCAGTTACGCTTGTATTGACGAGATGTTGGTGGATTTCCATGGGAGGTGCAGCTTCAAAAATGTACATGCCGAAAAGACCCAACAAATATGTATATATATAACGGATACCTTTTGGATGCCTACATAAACTTGGGAAAAGACTCAGATAATCAAGGCTTGTCCATTGAATACCAAAGACTGAACAAACCCACGCAAGCGGTTTTGCGATTGGTTACACAGAAATGTAACGACTGATAACTGGTTCACTTCGGTGGAGCTAATGAACATCCTAAAGCAAAAACAGCTGACACTTGTGGGTACCTTTAAAAAAA